AGTGGTTTTCTCCCCTTGTTTGCAACGTAATTCTTTCCTCCTCTCCTAAATATATGCTTGCGGTATAAAGAAACAATAGCAGCAATAGCTCACACTGACTTCCACTTTACCAAAAAAGTTATACAGAAACAAAAGCAAACACAGAAGCAGTTTACTTTTCTGTGTGGATTCCTTCCCAATTTTGAAATCAATCACAGACTTGGCAGAAATTCAGAATTTCTAAAAAATCATGTGTTGGAATTAGAAATATTTTTCAAATTTTTTTCAAATACTTTTTCTTGGCAGAGGCTGCGAATTAACTTGGCTATTCCTGTGTTATAGCAGGTTCACAAAGACTAAGTAACTTTAGTTGCACCTACATCACAGATGTGAACATACACAGCAACTATAGGAAAGCTGCCATAATACCTGGATTACCTGCAACCTGTATCGGAACCCTTACGCCTCAAGGCCACACTGTCCTCTGACAGCTTAATTCACTTTGGGACACAGAAATGCTTTAAATATATTTCTAATTATACACTATGTTTTAAATATTTTTTCAAATGGCTGTGTAACAGTAAGATTCATATACATAAAATGATAATATACATTGTAACTCTAGAGACCTATCATATATACATATGAAAGATCAGAATCAGAAATATAAATAAGAAAAAAATCAGAAATATAAATAAGTGAAAAGAAAAAGAAACAGATAAAGAAAATGAAGTGTTATGACTCCATTTAAGATTTGTAGTGTATACAAAGTATTTCCAGTTGCGAGACTCTTGGCTTACATTTTTTTTTTCCCCACACAAATGAAACAACAACTACTAAGCCCTTTCAGACCGCAGCCTCACCAACTGGTTAGCAGGTGGGTGAAGTGATTCTGTCTCTCCTACTCAAGTTTAGAAAACTTTCCATCTGTTTTGTATCTGCATGAAATGTTCACAAATGTGAAGTAATACACAGTGGACTAAAAAATAATAAGCTCAAGAAGAAAAATAATGAACCTGATCAAAACTGGAAGAACTATGAACTCACTTCCACCCTAAAGATATCCAAACAACCTAAGGACTCTGTTATAAAAATGAACATAATGCTCAGAAAACAGGAAAGAACAGCAAGACATAAATCAAATAAAAATATCATGCGGCTGTGCTTTAGAAAACTGCATGACTTGTACAACTTTTTGCGTACTGAGTTCTGTTCCTACAGCCCTTTACAGAGCTAAATAACTCCAGGCAGCCTAAAGGACACAAAACACCCAGGTGTCTATAACCAGTGCTGGTCTTGTTAGCAAGAGCTTAAGGTGGCCACCTGATTAAAAAGTGAATTTTGACAGGTAAGAAAGAAATCAGCGATACTCTCTGTTTTACAAGGAACGGCAAAGGAATTTTCCCAGGAGTTAGAGATGAAGCGCAACAAACACCAGGAAAGGCATAATGAAACGTTTGCTGTGCTGAGGTTAGGAAAAGCTTTTGTCGACGTAAGGTTCGCAAGCACGTAGAACGGTCTGCAAAGAGATGAGCAATAAGGATAAAAGCATCCCCATGGGTATCAAGAAAATATTAGATGCCACGGAGTGGTCAGAGGGGATAGAAAACTGAAAAGGAAATACGGAATTGAAGGCTTTGACTCCTCTCCTGTATTCCTATGAGGTATTAGTATAAAACATGCCCGGGCTATGGCCTGGAATCAGATGTAGAGCCAAGCACATCCTTCAGCTGAAGTCAGTTAACAGTAATGTACCCGAGGACAGGGATGTCTTACGCACCTCTAGCAATGTGCTCTCAAATAGGATACAACAGCGCTGTGACTATTTTAAACAAACATCAGCTCCAAAATCTGTAAGAAGAGACAGGCTTTGCATCTGCAACAGACATCGTCAGGTTAAACATTTTTCCTGACCAAGTGTATTCTGAACACCTACGAGCATATGGTGGGCATCAAGCATTAGCATTCTTCCAGTAGCACCACAGACATGGGTAAAAGAGAGCTGGGACCTCTATAATTTAGATTAATTGCTTATTATGGGTATGAGGAGAGGTGCTGCGGGAGTACTAGAGGCTCAAATAACAACTGAGAGCAGCCATTTGAGCCGATGTAATCCCCCCAGTCCTTGGGGCTGAGTCGCAGAGTGCTTCACCTCTGCAGCGATGCCTGTCCCTCTCCGTCTGCTGACAGTACGAGGATCCCGGCAGGGATCCGACCGCGGGTCTCCTTCTCGAGGAGCTGCCCTGACTCACGGCCCTTTCGTATCAGTGACACATTTCTGCACATAAGGCTAGGGCAAGACCCGAACCCATTTTAAGTCTGGCTTCTCATTTTTCTCTGTCAGTCTGTCAGGAAGCGATGCTGGACCTCCAGCGCTCCGTCCCTGGCCAGCAGCACCAGCGGCTCCCGCTGCGGAAGCGGCACACGTTACCTGCCAGCAGTGCTTCCCTTCAGGACACGAAGAGGGCGTGGAGCTGGCTGCAGCTTTTCGGCCAGGTCTGAGGTTTGAGATTAGTCAGTTTTGGCAATGGTTACACAGGGGTGATCACGGATTTCCAAATCTGCATAGGATTGTCCAGCACCCCTCATGTTGTCACCCCTAATTCTTGGTCATACTCAAGTTTAAGGGTAGCCTGGGTTGGTCGGCAGACACCGACAGGGGGAGAGACCGAGATGGAGAGATCACGGATCACAAGTTCCCCGAACTACAACAAATGCCTTCCCACAGGGGAAGGGCTTGGGCTCGCCCATGCCGGTGTGCCCACCACCTGGACCCCATAGCCCCCCATCGGCCCCCGGGGAGTGAGGTGCTGCAGAGAGGGAGATACACTGCACTGCTTGGGAATGTGAGGGGTGCAAGGACGGAGCAGCGGAAAGGTAATTGGGAAGGAGGGAACAAATGTCACCTTTGGCATTCCCCTCCTCAGAAATGTGCTCCACATCAAAGCCAAAGCAGCAGCCTGCCATGAGGAGCATTTTACTGAGAGCTCACCTAAAGCATCTGCGAGAAGTCCCCTACCGCGTTAGCGGCCTCCTTCCTTCCCCACGCTGTGCCATGAGCAGAGAGCATGGCATCGTGGTACCCATGTGCAGCCTCTGGTGCCTGCCCCAGTAAAGCATTTAATGAAACAGGAGCAAAGAGAGCAAGAGAGAGACGGGAGAGAGCAATCCTGCTCTGTGGTGCTCCCGCGCAGAACACAGCAGGTGCAAGCAGTACTCAGACTGAATTTGGTCTCCGTTAGAGGATATCAGCTTTTACTGGCTATGAACAGGTAAACTGGAAATGACGGTTCAACATTGTTTTCAGCTATGCTGTGGTTCAACCCGCTACCTGGAAGGATAGCAAACAGGGAACATTTTGCTTCTGTTTGTAATGCAAAACACGTAGCACTGGTTTCTGCAATCAAATCCCCAAATCAAAACATGATAGTCATGATTCCTAACTCCCCTATTCAGCAGATTGCTTTAGGATACCCCTACAAAATAATTGTTTTCACCTATCATTTGCCAAATGGGGGTACAAGATGTTTAGAAGGAATAAGCTTGACTGAGAAGATAGTGTTTAAACAGTTGAGTTTTTTTTCCAACTTTTTCCAATTCTGCCCCCTCCCCCCCCCACTACCTGGCAGGTAACAGAAATAATTGCTTTGGTAAGCATGTTGGTTTGCTATGTGTTAAATGCTCACCAATTAAATTATCGAAGCATAATTACCATGCAAGCAGTATTCTCTCATCATATATTTTTAAAAGCTAATCCCATTAGTATGGCTACCTTCCTCCTCCCATCTCTGCTTTCTTCTTCACGTGTCTGGAGTGGCAGCAGGAGGCGATTAGGATGGCCAGCCTCAAGCTCGGGCGCAACACAATGCCAGAGGCCAGGAAAGCGGAGGCAAGGGCCACGTCACCTGCACAGCAGGCTGCAGTATCAATGCGGTTCTTCCTGCTGCCTTAGCTCCATTGCCCTTCCGTGCCTTTCCGTTTGATTGCTATGGTGAGAAGTGTGCTGCGTTACAAGTAAAGGTCTGAGAGGAACGTTTCGCTGTGCTCCTTTTTGAAGCTTGCCTCATGTCGGACTCTGGTCTCTTGCCCACCGAAACACTCTCCAAGGCCTGGGTCTGAAGCAGCAGAGTGCATTTCTCCCTGGCTCTGCCTGCTTTGCGGACAAAGGATTTTGCACTTGCATTCATGCTGAGAGTGATTTTACATCTTTTCTTCAGCAAGAGTATGAAATTTTGTGCATTATATAAACCAATTCACTTAAGCCCTACTTAACTAAAGCTCTTATTTCACCACATCCTCATTACATCCTCAGGTGTCAACCCACTCTTCAGTTACCCTCTCTCAATAATTCTTACCTCATCATAGTGATGTTCCAGAGTGTGTTGAATAACCAGGATCATAAATGAATGTTTTTAAAGCAATGCACAATACTGCATAGGTTGGAAATGAATTCCTAGTTAAGTCATTGATCTAACAGGGAACATAAGTGCATTTTTAAGTTTCCGAGTCCTACTGAAAGCAAAATGATTATGCATTTGATTAAAGTTAAGGTGACTTGTCAGAGCACAGTGTAAGAATGTAGGATACGTCTTTGGACCCAATTCAGAAAGATACTTAGGAACATGGCTAGCTGTAAACTATGAACCACTAAGCACATAAAACACCGCATAAGGTCAGAAGGAAAAGGAAGATCACGTGATGGCCAAATCTGGCATCTGTGTTTTTCTCCCAAAGCTCTGCTCAATCTTACAATGGGTTTCATAACCCTAGCATAACACCTTTTCACAATTTGAATAAATAATAGCAAATCATTAATAAAAATAACAGCAATAATAATAATAAAAAATATTAAATCCTTCTCCCGAAGGGATAGTCATGAAGCTTTCTCTAGGCTTCAAGATCGCAAACAGCTATGGTTAAAAGTTGAAGAAGTGGGTGAACAAAATAAGCAAATTCTAATTATGGAAGATGAAGGAATCAAAGACATTTATTTATGTGCAATGTAAGATCTAATATGTCACCTTGCCGCCGCATTGGTGATTATTTTCAGACTGCTGGGATTACGGATCAGCTTATCCAGGATGCTGACAATCTGCTCAAACTTGGGTCTGTTGTTTCTGTCTTTCTGCCAACAGTCCAGCATCAGCTGATACAAGGCAGCTGGGCAGTCCATAGGAGGTGGCAAGCGGTACCCTTCATCAACAGCCTTAATCACCTGCACAAGGATAAAAGTTTTTGAAAACTTAAAGGCTCTTAAATCAACTTGTTTTTATCAGTTCTGTGAACCACATTAACATGGACATTCTGTGTTTAAACAAACGTGTTTATTCACTAATTGTCTTGTCGTGCAATGCCTCTGGTTTATCTGCAAAGTAAACCCCGCAGTAAATTAGGCATACAGAAAGTGGAGTTAAGATACAGTATGTGACTTTGAGGAAGGTGAGAGTCTAGAAAGGATCTCCAAAGCTTACACTTGATTGGACTAAATCCATAAACAAAAGCTACAATTAGTAAGGTGTTTGCTTAACTATGCCAAACTTCAAAAGGTCGTGAATATCTCTTGTCTGATCACCCTTAGCAACACATGCTTTCCACACACTCCAGCAGACACTGCAGTCGGCAGAAAACCAACTTAACTTCTCATGGGACATCCCGAACTGACAGACAGAAGGTCTTGTGGATGATCTCACAGGGCCAGGAAATATTTTTAAATCTTACTGCGAGGATAAGTGTACACTTCCTACGAGGCAGTGCAGGCCCAATTCTTTTATCATTTGTCTAGATTGACAAAATTTGTCTAGATTGTCTATCATCTGTCTAGATTGACAAAAAAAATTAGCCCAGAACTTACACTATTATGAAGCTTTTTAATACAACTTTTTCACTAGAGTATAACACCTCTTAAGCAGTCCTACAGTATCTATCTATTGCACCATGAATAAAAACCGGATGTATTCTAAGTAGAAAATGATAAAGCTCTATTCTGTTAATCTTTCCTTTTTATCTGGATCTGTTAATTTAAAAGCAGGAAAAACTATTCTGAGTCAGAACAGGGATAGGAAAACAGTCCATAGTTTAAGCAGCCATGAAGCAGAGGCACATAAATAGGTTAATCCTTCTGTTTCTGGTTTTAATGTGATATTATTAAAGGTATTCCACTAGTATATCAGCCTATGTAACATGGTTCATTAATCTCCACTAACAATAGAAAAACCGTTCATGACTAATTAAAAGAAAGACATAGTTTTCTGCAGATACTTGGGTTCCAGAGGTACTCATTTGAAAGGAAGTTTTCTTCTCTTTTTCCTTGTTTAACATAAAGTAGTGTACAGAATGTCTGACTACAACTATGTTACCGACGTTTTTTAATTTAGTACTACTAATGATATATACCAACCCCTTGGAAAACCTATTTGTGTTAGCAATTGTACTTCAGAAAATTTTGTTCGTAACTAACTCCTGTGGAATAAATCTAGGATTAATAAGACAACAGAAGAACCACCCAAAATAGACATAATAAAAATCTTATTTGGGGAAATGTTATGCTTCTTACAAAAATACTGGGAGAGATCCATTAATCATTTGGATAGCAGGCTTGGATAATTTACTAATGTTGCAAAGAAGCCTGTATTGGAAGTCTTCTAATCAGATCACTCTACTTCTCTATTTTATCCGTTGATTAGTTCCAGAAGTATCTCGGTTTCATTAAACTCTTAGCACAAATGCTTTGCTTCTCTTTTTCACAAACTCCAAGAGCAATTTAGTCTGTGTATTTGACATTTACAGAAAACTTCTACAGAATATTATACAAGTGGAACCAAAGGGGATCAACAGAAGTTTAGGAGGGTTTTCTAACAATAAGCTAAGGAATGTAATAGGCAATGACCTCATTGCAGTGGAATTGTTTGAATCATTCTACAGAAAATCACCAGCATGATAAAATTCTCTAATATGTTCCTTCAGAGGTCCAAAATACCCTGCTATAAAGATGCTGGCTTTTTGTTAAGTTCATTAGAACTTTTACTTGACCAGGGAGATTTGGAGGTTTTAATTTCTATACCTTATTCAATGTCAACGTCAAAAACTTAGAGCCACCTGGTTTCATTATGCTTCACTTCCTTTCACAGCTTGATCCTTTATTTGAGAACAGAACTCAGATAACAATATACTCACATCCTGGTTGGACATCTCCCAGTATGGTCTTTCTCCATAAGACATCACCTCCCAGAGAACAATCCCATAGCTCCATGCATCACTGGCTGATGTGAACTTCCGATATGCAATGGCTTCTGGTGATGTCCATCGGATAGGAATCTTGCCCCCCTAGGAGCAAACCAAAACAAAACAGCCCATTTGACTGTAATACAATGAATATAATTTTGCGTGATTGTTTTATCTCCAAGATTCTCAATTACCATTATATTGGTGTAAAAACCAGCATACGCTGGAAAATGCTGTTGCAAATTTTCATGAAAGCATCTTGTATGCTATACAGAGTAAAATACATTACAGTGCAAAATCTACTGAAGCTATATAGTATAATATACATACTGTATGTATGTACACATACATATATGCACACATACATATTTATGAGTAGCATAATATGCACAGATAAAAATAAATGGTAAGGTAAGTATGGTTGATTTTCAGTTATAAAATGTTTGGAAACTGGCAAGACAGTCAGACAGCATTAAGGATGAAAAAGCTAGCACGAGGTCCTTGCTTACATCCTAGATCCCTTTGCACAGCACAAGAGGGCTGGCTTTGGCTATTTGTAAGGTGTTTCAAGTGAATTCCCTGCTGGTGTGGAATCTGCATGGTTCTACCATGTTTTCACCCCATGTTTTCTAGGACATTCAAGGAAAATGAAGGGCCACGATGTTGCTCAGTTTCACTAATGGTCAAGCCTCCAGTCGCACAAGCAGCAACTGGGACCATATGCACAAATTTCCCATTCCAAAGCCGTCAAAGACAGTCACAGAAAGACATTTGGATGGGATCATCAGGGGAGAGTGCAAAAATCTCATCTGGAGAAGCAGTCTTAAACGTCTTTTACAGTCACAAGAGAAGCAAGCCATCGTTAAATGATGTAAACTTGGAAAGAATTAAAGCTACCATTACAATTAATATTGTGGTTAAGGGAATGTGTCTCTCTGATCACAGCCACCATTTGGTGCCATAGGTCAAACTAGTAAAATGCACACAAGCAGCCTCAGGCTGAGTTTCTGCAATATGAGAATTAGAGGAAAGAGACAATTTCCCAGCAGTGCCAGCTTTGACAGAGGTTTTTAAGACTCTGATTTGTGAGTCACACATGAGAAAAGTAAGTCCTAAAAGACAGCCGTGGAAAACTTGTTACTTAAGGTAATTCTGGAGTGAATATGTTTGAATAGAGAAAACTGTGATAGTTCAAAGTCGTTTCCAGTTCCAGGGATGCACAACATGAGCAAGGATATATGCTGAAGATTTCACACTAGACTAGCTATTTGAGGTACCTCTGCAACCCCCATTATGCTACAGTCTGATCATACACCCATCCTCACAATAACCTGTATGGGAACGGAGTGCTCTTATTTCCACTGACTAACCAGCAAGAAATAAAGTGTAAAGATATTAATGCTTTGCCTACACTTCCATAAAGTGTACCTGCAATTAGGGTAGCCATATACTCACCAGCTTTAGATTAACTAGCTTGGTTAACAGCAGAAATGTGGACATTAGTGTTAATTACAAACCTAAATACAGCCCACGCTGGAGCCTAAGTATCTGTAATTTCATTGTTAATATTGCACAAATTAGATTAAATATAAGCAACACAGGTAGGCTTTACTCAGGCTGTAGTTTAGACCTGCCAAATGTCACTAGATACGTCTTAGAGGCTTGGCAAAGATCAGAGAGGGAATCTGTCTTGGCATACAGTTTTTATGGATCCCATCCTACTTAGCAGACTCCCTAGCTTAACCAAAAGACAAAACTTCATTTTGCACACAACCCTTAAAATTAGGTAAATACTGAATTTCCACACTACTTGTGGACCAACAAATAGGACACAGCAAATAAACAGCAGTATTTGAAACCAGCGTTTCATCACAGAAGCCCGATGTGTCTCTTTTGCAAACTTGGAAATCTAGAAGATGATGTCCCTTGAGTCACAAAAAGTACATCGTATTTTCTATGCATTATAAGTTTATTCACAATTCCCATTGCTGCTCCGTAACAGTACTGAAAGCATAAAAATGATTTTGATTTTCTCATACTCCATTGAGAAGCAACAGTATGCCCACTTTACAAATGTCCAGGGTCCCTCAGTGAGTCCAAGGCACAGCCAAGAAACAAGGGAAGCTCTCCGGCGTCCTAGCCTCTTCACAACAAATCCACTTACGCTTTTAGATGTGGGGATGATAAAGAAGTCAATCCCACTTCTTCAATCTTTTTTCTATGCATACTAGTAGAGTGAACTTTGATTTCCAATAATGAATGTCAATGCCTGGGGAAAGTCGTATCCTAAATTTACACAAAGAGCCATCACCACGAACAGAGTTTCCAAATCAAACATCTCCCACTTGTCCCACAGGCTCAGAAGTCGTGATTGCAAAACTGAGCGGACTGTACAGCACAGCTGCAAGGCCGAGGTGCCCGAGCGCTGCCTGCACAGAGCTGCAGGCGGGCGGAAGCCCGGGCTGCACGCCGAGGACGCCAGCCCTCCCAGCACAGACCTGACCGCCCACCCCAGCCCACCTCAACCGCCAGGACGAAACCGCCTCTACGCTACCCAAGGCGTGAACTGCAAAGGAGTTTTACAGATCAGACCCAGCCCCGTGGACCCCATCTGGAAAGGAACATGCAGCTCGTGAGGCTGCTGGAGCGCAGGCACGAGGGGCCACCACCATGCCCCACGGCTGGTGGGGGCTTCTGAGCTCTGTCCCCCGGCAGCGCTCCCACAGGCGAGCGTGTCCAGCCCGGACCAAGCCAGACCACCACCGGCGTTCGGGTTGGGAGAAAATGTTTCAAATTCCTGGCCAGGTGGAGATGTAAAAGAGGGAACTCTTGCCCCTTGCTGCTCCCAATGGTAGCACTGTCACCTCGGACAAGCCCCAAGCCTCTCTCGCTTCTGCTGATCCCTCCCTTCGTGCTTGGAGGCATCAGCGCTGCTGGAAAAGAGACTGCGCCACCCGATCCGAAAGAAACGGAGATACAGAACTAGGTGTCATCAATGGGCTTGTGGTGACGTAGCCAGGCTGGGCCTCATTCTCCAGCAATTGCTTCGGCTACACTTGGAATAGAGGGATGGCAGAACGTGTGCCTACAACGTGCCACGTAAGAAAGCCCTAGAGGCAAGGGAGTCACCATCCCTGGAAGTGTTCAAAAAACGGGTAGATGTGGCACTTCGGGACATGGTTTAGTCTAGTCTACCCTTGATTGGCTTAGAGTAGACTTGGTAGCGTAGGTTAATGGTTGGACTGGATGATCTTAAAGGTCTTTTCCAACCTAAACAATTCTATGATTCTATTTGTGGTGTTTTTCTTGCATCAGTATGATGGCTGGTTCTGTGAAACACAAAAGTATCATTTTGGAGTTTTCAGAATCTTACTCTCTAAAGAATCTGAACTTCTGTGGGTGACTTCAGGCTCACACTTTTAATTTCATGCTAAGATACAAAAATGGAGCCCTTCTAGCCGAACCCTAGAGAAATAATTGCCAGATGTCACTTGGAAAAATGCGCTCGTGGATGGAACATGAGCACTTTAGGCAAGGGCCAGAAATATCATATTTGATAGAAGGTCTTTACCTTTATAATCTCATGGAAAAAGTCATTTATACAATCAGAGAAACACATTTACACAAAATGACATTAATTAGTCTCCTAACATTTTGGGACTGCTTTATTGCAGGGTAAGGAAGATTATAAACCCAAAGTTCTTCTGGCTGTGTGTGTTTTAGTGAAAAATGAAGGTACATCAACCGTAGATTCCATTACAAGGAAATAAATTTTCTTTTCTAAGTCTCAGCTGTAACTCTCTATACAAGCCTACAGATACATGTAACATTACCATGAACTAGAGTAAAATAAGGAGAGTATTAAAATGTAGCTAAAACAGAAATCAACTGCCACTGAAAAAAGTGTAAAACTATAATTTTGCTATTCTGCTTCCCAATTTGTCATAAAAATGTCAATCTTACCTTTGTATTTAAAAGGGGACAGCAAAAAAAAAGTTCTGGTAAATATTTTTTAGATAAATAAACATTATAACACAAAAACAATTCCCCCCCAAAGGATTATGCAACATTCACATTTTAGCAGATGTCCAAATATCAATATATGCAGAAAATCTGAAGTCGTCTCAAACTAAATGCATAGTTTTCTATTGCTATTACCTTTGAAAATTATAAGGCTTGCTGTAATTCAGATAGTCTATTTTGAAATTAAAACCCACGATCATTCAGCATTAGAAAATCCTTTTCCACTTCCACCATTTTTGAGAAACAGACATCTCATCTGAACACATATCACCTCTTCAGTTTTCTACTTTGCCAGAAATCAGGACATTCTTTGCCAGGATTAAAGATATTTGCATAAATTAAACCAAACACTTTCTCCCAGACCATAGAGTTGGAGCTGGGAAAACTAAGCTCTCATACCTGTTTCTTTACTTGTCTCTTGTTTTTTACCCTCTTTCCCCAGTCTCCCAATATTAAAAATGAGTATAATGATACCTGCTCTGTAAACTGCTATGATGAAAGTGCTATGAAATCCTACTTGTTTGGTTTTGGTTTTGTTTTTTAATTACGTATCGTATGTCCATTAGGCTTTCAGGCAATTTAATCTTCTTTATCTGCTATCTCTGTTGCTTATCCTCCACTGGAAAATCTGAAACACTAATATTATTGGCTGGTATTACTGGGCTCCTACCCTTCAAAATCAGTACTATCAGGACTGAACATGTAAGACAAACTTCCTAAATGAAAAATCATTATAGATGTGCCTAGGAAAAAGGTTTGCCCAAATCTATTTGATACAGGCTTATAAAGAGAAATCTACATGTGCGTGCATGCAATTATTAGCTATCGGTAATGTATTTACTGATTCTTTCCTGAAGATAAATACAGGTTTTATCTATTTTTGTCATGGTGTTCCTTTAAGGGCATGCTCATCATGAAGCCAAATAAGCTGCCTGAATTTGAGTAGAAAGAAAGTATTAGTATTAGAAACTGTGGGAGTTTGTTATTGCAGCTCAAAATCCCAGGCAGTCTAGGTCAGAGAACCACTCACGGGGTTTGAAATTAGTGAGCCAGCAGTAACCAAAGGTTTTATCTGCTCTAGATGGAGCTGTGATTCGTACAGTATCTGGCCATTCAGCATAATTCATCTAAAGCAAATGAAGTCCTCAATTCATTTCTAGTGAGTCTGGCACTCCAGCACAAGGCAGCTGTTTCCAGGCCTTCATAACCCATTCCAATATTCTGATTTATAATCTGTTACAGGGTGACTGCCACAGGCACCTAAGCCACAGGCCTGGGGAGAGGAGAATCAAGAAAAATGGATTCTAAAAGAATTATTAGAAGAACTTTGCAGGAAAACCTGAAGGTAAAAGCTTGACATTAATTCATTACATGAGGACTTAGTCTAGTTCAGGAGATACCTTACTGGTACAGAGCAAGATGGTTTCATGTGAGTGAGATGAGCCTGACTTACCCTTTTAAACACCTGAAAATTACCTGATGCTACTTGTTCATCCCTTACTAATGAATATTTTATCTTGACATTATCTCCTCGAGTGTTAAAGGATAACAGAGCACTGCTGCTCTCCCTCATGCTTATCAGGCCAGAGTTTTTGTGGTTTTTTTTTTTTTCTTTTTCTTTTTTTAACACACCCTTCAATATATTCAGACTGTATTACAACATTTTTGCATACATAGGGAACGAACAAACCATGACAAACTCCTGCCAAGCACCAGTTGCAACAACGTGTGCATAACGAAAAGGACCCGTGTGCCCTTTTCTGCGGCACAGGATGGAGGAGCGCCTTGCCGTGCCCTCCTGCTCTGGCACCGTTACCTGGTGGCACAGGCTACCAGAATACTCGCCATCAAAGCACAGTGTTTTTTGAAGTGATTTAATGACAAGTTATCTCCATGCAAATATAATTACCGGACAGCGTTTTACATTGAAATGCCACGAACACCAGTGACGTATCCAACTATGCGTTTAAATAGTCAAAGTTCGTCTGCTGATTACTCAAATATTATGCCTTTGAGAGACATAATTACAGTCCCTCTGCATGTGTGGTGGTTAAAATTTACTTCCACTTCATACTGTGTCATTAGTCCACCTACTTGTCACACAGACATCTAAAAATAATAAGAATAAAAAGGATCAATTTGACAATGACAATTTTAATAGAATCTTGGCCTTTCAATTAAAAGTGAATAGGTACGGAAAACGTAGATAATTACAGTACATCCCCTCCGGCACAAAGGCTCAGTAAAAAAAAAAAAATCCAAACACTCAGTCAGCCCAATTCACATGCTGGCTTCTGCTTCTGTAAGCAGGCAGACCACAGGCTGCCAAAGGCCTTTTGTGGTATCGAGTCAGTGACAATAATTCAGGAGGTGAAAAATGACCCTGTCAGGTAGCAAAGTTTTCTTACAACTCTCGATTCCCTGTATTTCACATATGCACCTGTGATCTTTGCATTGTCCTTCAGAGCTCTTGTACAATAGCACGAATATCACAGATTATGTATTGATATATAAAGGGATACATACATTACTGATACATAAAAGGATACATGATCATATCCTTTATGCAAAGCTTCAGGCACAGCTTCTGAGAACAGAACAACATACCATTCCACCCAATCAGTGGTGTGTATTGAAAGGCTGCAGGGCTGACTGGGCTTCTTGGGGGTAGAGCAATCCCGAATTGCAATTATGAATTGAAGCAATGGAATTGTTCTCAGGCTTTGACACTTACAGGTGGAAAATAGGGGTAGAAGAGGAGGCTAAATAGATAAAACATCTATCTTTGCAGCTAATTCTATAAATTTCCCTAGTACCACTGATACTAAATGGAGAACCGGGGGAGGGAAGAGGTGGAGGAGAGACACAAGTCTCTACCCATTGACATAATACGCACTCTTTACTGTTTGAATGTTTGGAATTGTGGTTATAACTTGGATTTTTTTTTTTTTTTCTCTTTTCAAAGATCCTACTGAGTAGTTGTCATCCTTTAGTTGTAAAGGCATGCAATTGTTTGGGATGATGCCATTATTTTAAAAAGCGGCACTATTTTTGTCTTGGTTTTGCCATATAACTAGTGTCTGTGAAATGCACTAGCAGCAGCCTAGGAAACGGTCCTGTGTTTTGTGATATGACTAAGCAGCAGGAACATGAACTGCCAAGCTTTATTCCAGTGGACTGGAGTTCTGTTGCATCCTCATGGTCCCCAGTTGTTTAAGTTGAGGATCAAACATACTCCAGGGATACACTACCTGGACACTTCAAAGGAAACTTCAGCAAAAAGATGAAGCCTTGACCTTCTCTCAGAGCCAAGACATAGCAGAGGTATATTCAGCAACTCCTTTTGAAGAAAATTAAATTTGTCCTAGGTTGTATTTGAAGGTTTTAATTACCTGAGCATCCTTCTGCAGCAGTTTGCATATGCACCATAAATGCCAGATGGAGTTTACTGAACACAGATGATTACACTTTACAACATAGTTTCTTTCCATCTGATTTCACTATCTAAACGTAAATAGGCAGGTAGGCTTAGAAAATAGGTGCCAGAAGAAGAGGAAGAAGGAAAGGAAAAAAAAAAAAAAACAACACTGCACTTGGCCATAGGAAATTCACACGTAACATTGGCCAGGAACTCTGACACCCTGTACACCCTGATTTGTCCTAGCTCATCCGCAGATATAAGTTACTGACGTTTGCTTCATTTTCAGGGAAGTGTGCTTCCCTTACAAAGCTGTGTGCTATGCAGTTTGATGGGGAGCTATTTTTTCTTCCCTATACAACTTTTAAATCAAAGTTAACTAGGACTCAAAGATTTCTTCAGCTCTCCATGTGAATACACAAAATGCCATTACTAAATTATAGATTAGTTTGCATGCCCGGATGAATTTTGGAATAAGAGAATTGAACTTCGAAGCCTGGCAGAGGGATGTGTCTGAGCAGAAGAACATGAGCCAACCATGTGGCAAAGCTGTGTTGGGGGTGGAAGGAGACATAGAGACTTCTCACCCATGGAGATGTTAACAGAAAGGGCATGTGTAAGAAACATGAGATAAATACGCTATGTGTGGTGCTGGGGATTAGTAACGCATTTTGGACATCACATTTAAGGAAAATGCAGTTATGGTGAAAAGAATCTGAAGGACACCAGCAAGAAGAGTAAGCCTGGAAAAATTGCTTAGAAAATAAAAGACGGAGGGATGCGTGTGAAGAGGACAGCAATCTCCATGCATGTAAGCAGCTGCTTTAAAGGGGAGATTGATCACCTGCCTATGGGCAGTAGTGCTAGGACACAGAGTAATTGCCTTAGCTTGCAAGCCTACATCCTGGGGGAGGCAGGTTAAACATGAGACTAGATAAATACTATATCTAAAACTGTTTACCTCAGAGACGCTAACACCCATTACTTGCAGAGGAGTTTTTAAGAAGAGGGCAGGCAAGCATATCTGACAAGGCAATAAACCTCTGGCTGAAGTACAGACAATTTTCTCTTGAGGTACTCTTGCATTATATTAATATTTACTTATGAATGCTGCACCTATACTGAGCATAAAAACTGCTTTCTCCTACTAATGTCTCTTTATATTAACCAGGAGAGATCTCTGCAGACAGTTTTCTAAAGTGGTATATATTGCGTATTTCTAACAACGTACCAAAGCTTATCAGAGGTCAAAGAAAGCACTGAAAGGTCAAGTAAAGAATAGAGTCTTTATGCCTGGTGAGTTATGAAGGTACGATTGATAGATATGTATCTATAAATGTATGTATATATAATGTGTAAGAAAACAGCTAGGATTTCTTTACTCATTTGTCACATGTTATTTTATTTTGATCATGAAGAAGGTAGCATGCAAACTACCACAATAATTGATTGCTCCTGTCAGTGATCAGGAATGAAGGAAGCCCTAGGAAACCAACATTAAGATTTTGCTGATACATTCTACTCTAATCTGGTTTGTACAGTGAAGAGGAGACGATTACTAGGCATCACTGCAAATTACACTTGACTAAGGTACTGGAGATTAATGCCACTTTTTCTAAAGTTAATAAAATCCACTTGCAATGGGATTAAAGTGAACAACCAGACATCCCAGTGTAATATCTGCATACAAAAAGTTAAATGTATGCCTTCAAGGTTTCCACAAGAAAACAGAAGCGTTATTCAAGTGAGAACAAGAGGTGCAGCACAGCTGTATTTAGAAGGCACTGTGGCTTTTCTAAGGCTCTAAGCCAACAGCATAGCTTCCAGGTAGCTTTTCAGGCAAGACGAAATCCAGAAAAGAAACAGGCAGCAGCCTACACTATGGGCAGTCCCCTGTCTGATAAAAAGCTTCTCTATTTCAGCACAACAGAGTCAGAGGTAAGTCCCCTCCTCCCTGATATGATCACATCTCCAAAAGACGGGTACCACTTTGTATATATGATAGAAGAAGGAGAAAGCACAGGAGGTTTATTACATTGTTAAGCAATTCTTTTGTTTTGTTCAAGTTTTTACTCAGTTAGGGGCACAACAGCAGGTATAACTGATTCACCCTTGCAGAAAAGTGATTTCAGTATGCTCCAATAAAGCATATGTCCCATCATACTAGAAGACACAAAAAGGTAAAAAAAAAAAAAAAAAAAAAAAAAAATTGCTGCTGGGTAGGATTTTTTTTTTTACTGGGTGGGAGCTAAATCAGCAGTGTAACAAGACCTGCTCAAAAGCACACATGAAGTCTTACATTATTGTGTGCCAAACCAACTGAGGCCTTAATTGTGGTACTTACTCCTTCACACACTCAGCAGAAAGAAACTGAAGCCATGAATTTCGCATACTTTAAGAAAAATAATCTACCAACAGAAACCGTATTTTTTGCGTTCTATCTTCTCTGAGACATGAATTAAAAAAATAGCTGTGATGAGTTTATGGTTTATTGGACATCTCTGGGCGTGCAAGACTGGATGGCCTCTGCAACACCAAGTATCAGCATCAGGGACTTCCTCAGATTTCAGTCTAACTTTATCACAACCAACAAGAATTTTAAAAGGATAAACAAAGAAACAAACTCACCCTTGTGGTGTAAGCAGCTTCTGGGTCATCTTCCAGTACACGAGAGAGACCAAAATCTGAGACTTTGCATACCAAGTTACTATTGATGAGGATATTACGAGCAGCTAGATCTCGATGGACATAACCCATATCTGACAAATACTTCATGCCAGATGCAATCCCTCGAAGCATGCCTACTAGCTGGATGACTGTGAACTGGGCATCATGTTTCTGGAAAACATTTCAAATGTTATTTCAGAGATTGTTCATGTTCCTCCTTGCACAGAATTTTTGATGAAGACCCTGGAAGCTCCTCAAGCGAAGAGCTTGTGAGTCAGGGGTCATGATTTAAATGCCACATGTGGAACTACTTTGATCTGCAGAGGATAATCTCCAGTCAGCTGAGGGAAGGGGACAGATTCTAAATTCAGATAAAAATTCATTTTTCCTGTTCTTGCTGTCATCAGAATTTTAATTTCCTAGACGGGACCTGTGCGAAAGCGGCACATAAATCTAAGTTGTGTGTGCTCATGAGATTGGAGTGTCAGGACACTAGGGAAACAGATGTCCAACTTCCCTGAAAGGCCATAGGAATTGCTAGTGAAAATCACAGCCTTACCCAATGGACTAATGAAAGTTTTCTATTACACAAGCATTTTTTCTAACAAAAGCAAATGCTGATCTGATTCAGTGGCTTTCAAATTCCATTAAACTCATTCCTCAAAATTGTCCTCAACTTCAGAAACACAAAAACCACTTAAACTCACTTTGACTTAGCCTAGAAACCAATAGTTGCGTATATTTCTAATTGTCTGCTTCTAGACACGTTTTAAATCTCCCAGCTCTTACTAATGCTGTTTGTTAACATCTAGCTTTGATATTGATATATGGGTACATAGAGAACAGGACAACAGTATGTCCTAGTGTGCAGCTCTCAAATGAATCCCCCAGTGCTGTAAATGTATCATCATGGGCAGCTCTCCAGCTCTTCCTGCTGCTTCTTCCAGAATTTTATTAAATACATGGGAGCTGGCTGTGCCACGTGGGGTGAGCTCACACAAATCGGTCTGCAAGACTGACTGCATTCATTTCATTTTTGATTAATATACTTAGGGGTGATATTAGCACTGTAAATATTAGACAAATAATAGCACAACAGATGCTTAAAGGGCGTCTCAGAATTCCCTTTCATAAAGAAAGAGAATAAGACTCTTAACAGTTCCCCACTATGAAACCTTCTTTAACTAGAGCCAACACAAGAGGATCTATATAGAACCTGGAAAAGATTTAGCTAGAAATCAGAAGAAGGTTTCTAACCATGAAAGGAATGAGATACTGAGATAGCCTTTCAATGGCAATGTGGAAAGCTAACTAAATAGCTTTAAAAGGCATTTATAAAAAGGGTTGTATGGCCTGGGTTGCCTGCGATGTTAATGAGTCACAAGGTTCTTATCTATGATTCCACACAACAGTAGTAAAAAAAACCCAAAACAACAAACAAACCAAAACCAAAAAAACCCACACTCGAATGAGCGAACAAGCTGAACAACTGTTTTGTACAGTCAGAAATTATTCTCCTTTCCTCAGAGATTTCTTTAAGGATTTTTAGCCTAAACAAAATATATACAGTTCAGTACAGATATATTTCATTCAGATATACTGACACATTATTTATATGTATTTTACATGCTCCAGTGGACATCATAACATATATAGTACATACTGAAACTAAGGTTGACAATATATCCCCTTTTGGGGTTAAACGTCTAGTTCAGTGTTATGAATTTGGGGGATAATGTCATTCAACCGTGGCAGAACCAAAGCAGTCTCCCAGACACAGCTGAGTTTGCCCTAACAAATTAAAATTAAACTAGTGTTTCCCCTCAGATGGGATTTCATTTCTGCTACACTTCTTGTTTTGCCACAAGTAAATCTTGGTGACACAAGGAGCGTTCAAATTTGTTTAGGCTCGCTACCAAGTTTGACAGAAAACAAAGATAAATCAACAACAGTATTAGTAAGTCTAAGGTTGGGGAAAGAAAACAGGCCAATAAAGTTTGCTAGCAAAACATTTCAAACACCCTCAGGTATGGGTTATTCCCTAAACATTTCATGTTTAGGAAAACAACTCTTGTCTCAGTACTATTGGTTTACTGATAAAATTTCCACAAATCCATTCACTTTGGAAATTGCTTAGTAAGACATACAGGCTGCCAAACAATAAGCATAGCTGCATTACAGTAGTAATTCAGCCCTCAGAAAAACAATTTCCATTTTTTGTGTGCCAGAATGTTGTTTTGTTTTGTTTTGTTTTTTTATTGATGTGACATACTAATAGAACAAAAGTGTTCTTCATTTTGGAATAATACTTACTGCAAGCAGTCAAAATGGACTAGCAGATCTCTACCTGGCTTTCTGAGCACATCACAATGCACACAAAACCAAATGGAAATAATGAGATATCAAGCAACAAGAGCTGACGTTGCATCAGAGTACACTGGCAGCAAATTCATAACAAGAGCCAGTCCCGCACCAGGTAGTTCTCTATTGCACTTACCCGAAGGAAGCTGTCCAAGGAACCATTTTCCATATATTCAGTAACAATCATAACTGGTTTACCTGCAAATATATAACAGGGGTCAGGGATTTAAAATGAATACATAATGATCAGTAAAAACAGCCGTTCGGAAACGTGACCAAATCTTCCAAATCCCAAAGATAATTTTACATTTAGAAAGCAAGCAAAAGATACATAGGCAAAACCAGGTCTGGCCACAACATAACTGTGATTTCACTGACATCAACAGAAATGCAGTCATTTCAGCATAACCTGACACAATTTTTAGCAGCTCAAGTCCCAAGACACAAAGTGAAGCATCCTGCATTTTCAGTATACGGTGTCTTATCCATCACCGCTGAATACAATCCTTCAAATAATTGCCGACTTTATGCAAGGAAGTAGGTGTATTCTGCCATGCATTTGCCCCCAGGTTCCCTCTGGAAGGGAACTGGGTACTTGCTGTGGAGGGAGTCACCGCATCTCTCCAGCGGTGCCCTGGTCTGCACAACAGAGGTGCGAGAACTGTGGAGCAGCGCTCTACGGCACGGGCACAGTCAATATGTTCCTCAGATACTACGGTAAGGGGGAGACTAAATCGCGTACATGGAGGCAACAGCAAAACACCTCTTCCGCAGGAGGGTATTTACAAGAGATTTAAATTGTAGAGATTGAGTATTTTCCTAGCATAAGCCGATGCAAATGTTGGGGTGGGGATAGAGATGGAAGGGAAAGTGCAGAATAGAAGTAATACAGGGCACTGGAAAGAGAAGCAGAGCTGCAGCACAGCCACCTCCCACTGCTGGGGGTTAGCCCTCTTGCCAGGCAGTCCTGCCTCCTTCTGCAGCAGGGCCACCGACCACGCGAATCCCCCCCACCCCGCCAAGCGCAACTTAGCTGGGGGCCAAACACGCTGCATCCACGGGGCAGCGGCGGGCTCTGAAGAAACAGCCCTGCATCCTTGAAAAGCCTCTAATACCTTTCAAAACTTGTCCGTGCAGATTCAGATCAGTTCGTGAGACCATTCTTTCTACCCTAAGGTATTTTGTAACATAACCAAGATTTTTGCATGCAACTCTGACATGTTGGAGAGAAATGAAAGCAAAAATTAATGTGATTATGGTGAAGTTTCCGGACAAAGGTCATTGCCCTGCTAATATTTTACCATCGTATGGATTTTATTATTCCATAATATTTTCTAAAGCTTTGTTTATTTTCTCTTTCTGGTAGAGAGAAAGGTGGGTAAGAGCATGAAGTTATTTAAGGAGATGAATTATTATTTCATATATAATACAGGAAGGCATCTGACCATAAAAGCATTACAAAGGCCTGGATATTGTATAGCAGGCATAGTGATATTTTAGCTTTTAAAATTGAACAGCATGAGGCTTGAAAGAGGTACCCAGTATAATTAAAAGCAAGAAAGCCAACCCAAAGGATTCTATGATTCTATGATTCTTGAAAGCCATTAAAAAAGCAAAGTAAATGCTAACAACTCCTTTTTTGTTTGTTTTTCAGAAAATACAACTTCCACCAAATAGAAATTCTTAGAAGAGAAATATTAATTTTAAAGAATGAGTTTAATGTAGTGAGAAGAAAATCCTTTGTCCTCCTTGCATGGATTAATGGGTTAAAATACCTTCCTTCTGCTGTGCAAATGATGTGTTATGCTGTGGGAGACACACTAATGGGTAATCGACTGTCATCCATTAACTGGTAGGAACAAACTCTTTATCCAAAACATTAATCTTGAATTATATAGGATATGGTACAGATAAAAGACCCAACAATGTAAAACCTCAAAAAAAAAAAAAAAATTCTATTGCTTGCTTACTCTCATTAGCAAGAAATATGCAGTGCAAGGAAAAGTACCTAACTTATACTGTGTGTGTAACATTAACCCAAAGGCATTTCTGGTAACACAAAGAAAATGCTGCTGGATCTTTCAAGTAAAGTGCAGGGCACTGATGGGGCTATCCAAAACTTTCTATGATAAATCCACATACTTTGAAACCAGGAGACAGTTGCCTGGTTTCTGTATAAACTCAATTTTATGACACATCAGAAGACTGAAATTAGGGTAAGAAGCTATGTCTTTCAAATTATTAGGAGAGCATCTTCCAGCCTTGCTCACCCGTACTCAGAAAGCCCCAAGCGCAGGGTTTCACTCTCGTTCAGTTGGAAACGTGTCCATAATAAGAAGCATATGCTCTGAAGCAACACGGTGCACTTTTAAAAAGAACGTTCTGCATTCATTTATCAAAGCACAGCCGTTTATACATGATAACAACTTGTGTCAACAGTGTTGCCGAAATTTATTACACTAACAGGCTACAAATTGCTGTAAATTATTAGTAAACTAAGCAGAACATGTGCGCTGGTTATTAAGACTACTGCCTACAGCACGCCCAGGAGACCCGTGCAGCAGGAAAACGCAGAGCAGAAATCAACGTGAAGCAGGGGAACAGCTCTGCGGTGAAGCACAGGGCTGAAGCCTCAGCTGGTGGGTGCACCTCCTTCGTACTGCCGGTGGGTTGTCCCACTCGCAAATCACAGCCACCCCAGCTTGAGAACTTCTCGTACCAAATGGTCCTGTTACAGAGTTCACGACAATTGCAGTTAGTAGGAGCTGCTTCAGAAGACCTGCTTAGCATGGAAAGCTAGATCATTGCTAAGGGCCACCTGTCAAAAAGAATTTGGTTAATGAAGAAAAGGTCATATCGCCTGTTTAGCACGCATTACCTCTACTGAGAGTGATCCAGCAAATACTCCACAGGCTCTCGACTGACTGTACATAAACTAACGCTTCTGAGTGTGATTTAATAGCCATCATTAAAAAGTATGACCACTTGCGAATTTGTTGTTACAGTATACTGGTTTGTTTGGAAAAAAAACCAAACCCCACAACCTTCTTGTCCTTCTATCACCCTACAGAATGTTAAAGAAAATAAATTTTAATCTTTACTTGCCTTTAGGCCACAGGATTTTACCCAGTAAAATGGATACAAATGGTTCCAGAGCAGTTTTCTCAACTCCTGTATCCAAGCTATCTGGAAAGGGTGTTGTATCCCTGAGGCTTTTATTGACTTCAGCTGGGAATATTCAGAGCTTGCTCTCTCATACTTAAATGTGATAGGCAGCTGGTGCTCCCAACCCCCCCGAAACAGACAGCAGTTTGCTGTGAATACAGCTGAGTAGCAAACTAATAGTCACTTATACAGAATACAGACAGAATTAGTAATGCACATTCAAAAGCAATGCACAAATTCCTGCATGCACAGCAATTAAATTATTTTCTCAAGTGCCACAGAAATACAAAATGTAACAAAATAGATTTCAGCTCAGCTGTGTACAGACCGATGCTGGCGTTTCAAGTAATTTTGGGACTGCAAATGTTCTTCTGACTGTACAAAGTGTGTGTCATTAAAAAGCAGGGGATAACTTGGATTTACACAGGCAGATCTGGCAGTCCTTTCCTAATGGGCCTGTGAGACCTAAGCTGAAGAATAACTTCTTTGTTATTTAAATCAGCAAAACAGACTTTCATGACCTAGTGAAAGCATTATTACTGTAATTATGTCTCTTCATAACATATAGGGTTTTACATACCTTTCACTAGTTATTTTTAGACACATTCTTGTGGGTTTTTTATTTCATATAATTTGTTGCAGTAAGCTATGAAATTCTTTCATGCCTGTCTGTGTTTGTGAAACCTTGAATCATGCAATTTTAAAAACAAGATTCCTTAAAACCAATAAAACCATCTACTTAACAACAAAGTATTTGGTATACTTCTACCCAGTTCAACTGGAAATGTGCTCAGCACATTCCAAGCATTTCACTGAAGTGGCAAGGAGCTGCTTTGCTGGCAGTCCTCTAGGATGAACTAGGAAACCTCCTACTGGTTTTTTTCCACTCCCCGGAAAAATCTTGGAGAATTCCTGAATTTTCGTTAAGAATACCTCATATAAAATCTTATTGATCTCCCACCTAATAACTACTGCAGGACTTTGATCATTAGATTTATCACCTTATGCTGCAATGGAAATTTAGAAAGTCTGTGAATTCACGTCTCACAGAACAAACCAGTTTTGGTACTTCACGCAACCTCTCTTTTCTACTATTATTTCCGTCTTTCTACGTCAAGGTAGAGGACAATCAGCACCACAAGCAATGAGAGCCAGAACTTGCCTAAATGAGGCAGAAATCACCATTCAGGAATGCCTGTTACAACTTGCTGTTACCTTAACAAAATTGGAGCTGGAGAGAGTTCTTCAAATCTGTTACTTTTCCAGGAACGTACCGTGGTTAGAGTTTTCACAGTTATATTTTTGTCTCAAAATGAGAAAGTGATTTGTTATCATAGACAAAAACATCCTTAAGAAAAAAAAAAAAAACCCAACAGCAAAAACACCCAAAGGCAGATTTAGAAAATGTCTATTAGTAAAAATATGAATATTATCAAAGAAATAAAATCAATTTTACTACTGACAGCTTAAAGCCCCAAGACTTTTTTGGAGATTTTTACTAAGAGGTATAAATTCTAGTGGATCGGGATCTTCAAAATGCCTCATACTGGTACATACTGAACATCACATGGAGTATTTTCCCTGCACGAAAACCAGGTAGGAAAAAGTTTGGATTTATTTGTTAATATACTAGTATCAGTTGCTGTAGCCAGGTAGACTGTTCATTAATTTGTGCTAATGATAAAATCTAATGATTTAGTTGAAAGCAGAACATATTGCTTCAGTGCAATTAGGAAACCTTAGGACATCAGCCTCCACGGCTCCTAACAGATTATCAGCAAGTGCCTCTTGGCTACTTTGTAGCAATTTGTAGCTCTGGAGTTTATTAAACGTGCCAGTTTATTACTGAGCTGCACTGTTCTTCAGAAATACTCCTATTTCTCCATGATGTCTATCTTTTTTTCAAGCAGATCATTTTTATTTTGCAATTTTTTCCATCTCATTAACCGGGGGTACTATTTTTAAGTTCTTGGCAGCCTGAGAGCAGCAAGACAGCGAAGGTCCCGCAGCTGCACTGCAGGCAATTGCTTCTGACACCGTTCTTCATCGGATCCACCAGTGCGGGATTAGCTGGTGCTTGCACATGTGTAATTTTTTTCCCTGCTTTTGAGGAAATACAATATACATTGCAAAAGCCAAGCTACGTGCTTCCGCTGTTAACTCTTTTGAAGGATATTTGGTACATATTAACAGGGTTATAATATAAACATTTCTGGAAGGGTTTGCAGAGCATAAACATAGATGATTCAGTTTTCTATTTGCTTTTGCTCTTCCTTGAAAGATCAGAGAATCACAGAATAATTTAGGGTGGAAGGGACCTCCAGTGACACTTCCCATGCAAAACAGATGCCCCGTCATATCTTACTTTTAGTGACGACTCCCTCTAATCGAATGATATTAGGGTGGTCAAACTGTCCCATGATGCTTGCTTCTCCCAGGAAGTCCCTTCTCTGTTTTTCTGTGTAGCCAACTTTCAGGGTTTTGATAGCCACTGAAATTTCCTTTTTAGAAGGCAGCTTCAGGCGCCCACTGCACACTTCTCCAAATTCCCCTAAAAAAGTGGAAAAATGACAAAAGATGAAATGTAGTTATTTCACAGGGATTTAAGAAAGAAGACCTAGCGTTCAGCAAAAGTCCCTGAAGTGTGATGTTTGCCGGTGGGCCACAGACCGGAGCTCCAAAGGAGGCCTTCAGACAACTACTTAACATTTCCATGCTTGGGCTCTCCAGCTGCCGAACGGGACAATGTCACTTATTTACACTGCGTATCCAGATGACTGCAGAGCAGAGGAATGCATAAATGTCACCAGAAAATTCCCTTTTTGTTTCAGTTGATGCACTTTGAGACAATAGTAGGAGGGCTAACTGATTAATGCAGAAGTATCAGAATAGCCATGCACCCTTGTGAGCATTTTATATTCTTCATTTCTACCAAACAGAGATAGTACAGTTCCCAATTATTTTACTTATTTCAGTTAAAGTAGCAAGATAATTCATAACAAAAGAATTTACCTACACAGCTGTAAAGAAAAAAGAAGTCCATACATCTTTCTTCTGGATCTAACCATGCAAATACATACTGTCACTATGGGACTATGGGGCCTGATAGTCCACCATGAATACTGTGCCCACCGTGTATTGTGTGAGATCCCTAAATAGAAAATGGCAGATATCACCACATGTTTACTTTTATATAACATGGTTTATCCTTTGCTAAGTAACATCTAGGAAGAGTGCACAGGGATAATTATCTTAGCATTCAAATGAGCAAGTATTAAATATGTTGACAAACTGCTGGATGAAAACATCTCCCTTGAAAATTTCTGTATTTAACTAATGATTACATAAAGCATATAAGGAAGTTTCATTATCGTAAAAAGCATTTGAGCAGCAACTGACTTTTGATTCCCAATTATCCAACCCCCCACCCTAGATTTCATATGATATAATAAGCTGCACACACAACAACACAGTTAAAATTAGAGTAGCAACTTTTTGTCTCCTTGTTTAATGACAAAATAATTGAAATAATGACAAATACAATAAAGCCAGGGAATGGATAAAATATACAAGAAATATGGTGGCAAGAATTGCCCTACATGATTATTTACATTTAAAGACAAGGAAAACACTTTACTGAACAGAGAAAAAAGGAAGGGTGTTTTGTTTTGTAGTTTTTTTCTTTCAAGGAACTAGAGGGTGTCGCTGGAGGGCTTTAACACTAATTTTCCAACAAGACGTGCCTATTCATGTTCTTTTGTCAAAATACATGAGATCTAAATACAAATAATGCCTCATAGGCCATATTTTGTCAAGTGGCCTTGTGTAGAAAGTTTGACTTGGAAACAAACCCTGTAAATCTAAATCTAGCTGGCATAATTTTTATGCAAACTGGGAATTTTGTTTATTTGTGAGTGAAACGTC